GAGAATGTATAAAAATGTTACACGTCTCGTATAATGTTGACAATTTACAGTGGAAACAGTGCGTAGCGTTTGCGGAAAAAAATTTCAGTTGACGTTCAATTAAAATTGCACTTTATGCGTTTAGATTTAAAGTTTTTAATCTCTGTTAAGGATGTGATCACAGAATTGCACGTTTTCAGTTTTTTAAACGTAATTATGGTGCATGAAAGTATTTGATGTAATTTATAACTAAATTCTCTTACGTTTAGCTAAAACAAATAATTAAAGCCTACATAAGCTTAGTTCTAACCAAACAGTCGAAATGTTAAGTGAGTTTTAAGTTGCAAAACATAGTGGAGATAGAGCCAAAAGTTAAATTTCGGTCTAAGTACTGTGAGTTAAGGAAATAAATTACAGCTTGGTGAATTTGTAATGTTTAAAACTGCTATTAAAAATTTTAAATTCTTACAATTACTAAATATATAAATTATTGTTTAGTTGAGACTCTAATAAGCGGGTTTTATCAATTTTATTGCATCATGTATTCAATTTCAGCAAGCCCTTATTCTCATATTCCGTCGATGCACCAACTGACAAACTGTCACTTGATGTTAATGTTCAAGCAAAAAGTGTCACTTACCATCAACTCATGCCTTCATACCATTGATATGGATTAATGGATAGGCGATTGCTTAAAAATAACATTGCTTCGTTTCTTGAAACGCCGTTTAATGGTATTAACATTTGACTCTATTATTAGTTCCAATTTTCACCACCACCGGCAACTGTGACAGTCAGCGCCAAAATGGCGGAAATCAAATGCTCACAAAATAATACGTTTCATAGCCATTCCATTTATAAAGATCAGTTACAACCCATGCGTTTACTTATATTGACGAAATGAGGTTATAATACTAGCGCATTTCTTCACTACACATTCTGCAACGTGTTGGAAATATTTATGTTATCTGTGACAGAATAGGAACAGTCGTTTTATTCTGCTATTGCTATTTCTTTGAACCTGGAATTAATATTTATCAGATGTATTTAATGACTGTTTTTCCGACGCTTTTTGTTTAAAATTCCTACGTTTGTTGCTTGTATTATTCCAGACTTGTCTGGCCAGAAGTAAATAAATTAACGAATAGAAGAAAAATGACTGTAAATCTTGGTTTTTAGTTTTCTTTTCACAATTTAAAAAATCACGTAATAATTTTTTATTGATATTACATTTACCAAAAAAAACATTATCCTGTAGGTTGTTAAATGAGAGTTTTAGCAAATAATTAATCTGATATTCCATTTTTTTATATTCATTCGTTGATCAATCCGGGTGTAAAACACAGTGGCCGCTTGCGAAAATTTTACGTAACCCGGACTTTCAAGCAACACGGAGATTCCTATCCATTGGCTTCCTGACATGTGCTCTAATACCAGGACATAAGTCCCGGACACTTTCTAGATACGATTGACCTAGATGGAACCAATAGGCTAATAAATCATACTTCATACTAATTTTATAATGCGAAAATTTAGATGGATAGGTAGATGATTCATGCGAGCCACGTTCATGCCCGTCTCCATCACCTTCTCCAGCATTGCTACATCTCGGGAAACCGGCCCTGAGTTATTTAAATATATGCGTACCATTTTATAACTCCAACATGGACATCGATTTTCAATTGTTTCACGACAATCATACTAATATTATGAATGCGAAAGTTTAGGTGTATGGATGGATGTTTAGTAGAGTTTGTAGCCTAAACGACTGAACGTATTTCGATGAAATATGGTGTAGATGTAGAGGATAGTCTGGAAGAACACATAGGCTATTCACTTTTGTTTACATTAATTTCACGCGGACGGAGTCGCGGGCGAAAGTTAGTATTGATATAAAGCGAATAATCAATAATTGAATAGTTGATGACTCTAATCAATATATAAGAGGAATAAAACGGGAAAGTATACTTTTTAAAAATGTTATCTGTAATGTTTCTGACAAAGCACTCCTTCATTACATTGGACTAGATTGTAGCCGTGACATATGTTCGGAGTTAAAATTGTAGCCTATATGTTCTTCTAAAATACAATCTATATTGTCGAATTTTATCGAAATCTGTCTTAGGATACGTAAGATCCATCCATCCAAACTTTCGCATTACAATATTATTCTGATTAATTCGATCAGTCTTCTAAGATTTTTCAATCATATTCTTTACGTAATTCTACAAACAGTTCTTACGGTAATCCCCATAATAACAAAGCATATGCCAAATGTATACACAATGGTTCCGATTTCCCAACAAACAGTCACACTCCTTACGTTTGGTAATGCACGACAAATGGCCCATTAACTTTTCTAATGACAGTTGTTAAGAAACACATTTCCAATTTTTAATCATCTTTATTTCCCCAAACTAATGACTAGAACTAAAATGACGATATACAGTCAGCATGAATATGTATTGTGCAAAGATTAAGGGCCTATCCCACCACTGATAGAGGCTCAGATAGCTTAAAAATTACGTCACTGTAAGATACAAAATCCGATATTTCCATCAGATATTTCACACTTTGGTTATCAGGCTATTAAGAATTCGGTGGGACAGGCCCTTATTTATTAATTTTACACCTTACATACGCCCCTTTTCCCCAACGAATGGTAAAAACAGGCGCATTTTTCTTATGATTACAAATAGTTTACGCTACCGAATTGCTAGATGACATATATTATACTCTCAAAGAATGTCACCTTATGCAGAGGGTCACTTAGTGTTATTTGACTATAGATTAAAAATATTTAAATCTTCTAATATAAGATAATACGACCTGCTAAGAGAAATAGAATGATTGTAAATCGACTTTTTTCATCAATACATTATTACATTGTAGTTCTTTAATAGCTTTCACCGGCGACTTCGTCCGCGTGGAATTAAAAAAAAAAAACAAAAGCGTGTAGCCTATGTGT